CTCATCTCCTTGATCATCGAAGAGTCTGAGCACAGAAGTTGCAAAGAGACTCGGCACGCACGATCCAAAGCCAAGAATCGCAATGGCGAAGAAGCCATGTCATTGACCCCCAGAAATTCTTTCGGAAGGGGGAGAGGAAATGGAAGAAATGGTAGTCGAGGGGGTAGCTCCAGAGGGCATGCTCACCAGCGGGGCCCCTGCTGGAACTGTGGGTCGAGGGAACACTACAAATCTCAATGCCCTGATCTTGACAAAACAAAGAAAGAAAGCTTACCTGCTGCCACCAAGGGATCTGTGCATGCTGTAATGCTTGATTCTGATGAAGAGGGCGCCTTCTCGGTGCATGCCCTGGATGAACTCGATGACGAGGGTTCACTCCCTGACTTGCTGAGTGTATCGTCAGACAATGATGACGTTGATCGACGCTGCTTCATCACCACCAACGAAGACTGGTTCAGTGAGATGGGGGATGTGGATGATGAGCACTCACCCCACGGCAATGCTTCAAATCATGTCGAGCCCACTAACACCTCCCCAGAGTTTGCAAACCTTGTAAATGACAGCCCCATCGGTATGCCTGTCATTGAACTCTACGATTCCAGATCCACTCGACACATCTCCCCTTACAAGGAGAAGTTCGAGACATTGGTGACGATACCACCCAAGTCATTCTCGGCTGCCAACAAACAACTCTTCGATGCTACTGCTATGGGGGAGTTAGTCATAGAGGTGCCGAATGGGTACGATGTAACTAAACTGCAACTCACCAAAGTACTATACTCACCCAAGGTTGGATACACCCTCGTGTCCATCAGCCGCCTTGACCAGCTAGGCTACTCTGTCACCTTTGCTGAAGGTACCTGTACCATCAGGAACCCTGCTGATGATGTTGTTGGTCGCATCCCTAAGTCTAAAGCCGGGCTCTATCGTGTCATCCACAATGACGATCACGACAGTGCAAACACAGCAGCTGAATCAATAACTGTGATGGAACTTCACCGTAGGATGGGACACATTTCTCTGTCCATCACTCGTCACCTAGCTGAAAAGGGACTTGTATCAGGTTTGAAGTTCGACTTGTCGAAAGATGAGCCGACCTTCTGTGAAGCCTGTGTATATGCGAAGGCAACCAGGAAGCCTGTCGCGAAGGAATGCATCGGAGAACGAGCTCACGAGTTTGCTGAAGAAGTACATAGCAACATCTGGGGACCTGCACCTGTAGAAACTCTTGGTGGACGGCGTTACTACATTTCCTTCACCAACGATAAGACGCTGTCACACACCAAAGGTGTTTGGTGAGGTGGACATGGATGTAGCTGATGAATGGAGGTGAAGACCATAGCCCTCATGCGAAGAAGGACAGCCAGCAATGTTGGCAGTCATCCCTCGCACAAGAACAAGTTGTCAGTGCCAAAGAAAAAGGAGGAGGCGAGTTAAGTGCCAATAAAATTCTTAAGTGCCCATGTATGGCATTCCGGTTTTCGACGTATCTCCACCAATTCTGCAGACACCGAAACCATTCCCACACTCGCTTGTAGTGCTCAGCCACGCGATCCTACCTTCCAAGATTGGAAAGGATTTGCACACTCCACACGTTTCTACAGCACTCCCTCCAATAGACGCTCATTTTGCTAATTCTTCTGATATGGCTGCCTCCACATCAGTCGTTTCGCTTGTCCCCTTTGCTAGGGACCATGGCTACATATATCTACCAGGAGTTCCTACCAGCTTCCATCCTGAAGCGTCCTGGTACATCCCACCCTCATCTGCCCCCTCTCAGCCCATCCAGCTGGGACAGCATGTTCTTTTTGTCAGTATGACCTCCAGGAGGATGTTCTTTGGTCGCCTCAGGTCTGTCATTTGCTTGGAAAGGTCTTATGTGGTCATTTCAGTCTCTCCAGTCCAAGAAGCATATGGATCCTTCCTCCCTGCCCCCTGCAACATCTTCATACCAGTCTCGTCCATCATTCTTCCAAAATTGCGACAGCTACAGTATAATCTACTGTTCTCCACTCTCCCTGATCGCATCCACGACAAGTATGATGCACATCTTGCCTCCTTGTTGCAAGATACAGCAGAAGACGCTCCCCCTTCATCCTCTCTTCCAACAGAGCCTCATTCATGAAGTTTTTATTTGCTTCACTGAGAGGATGGTTTGGGGGGGAAAGTTGCAATCCCCTATGCTCCTGTCACCCCACAGACCCCCAAAGCTTGACCCCTGTTGACATCTGACTCACCCTGTCTGCTTTTGGATGTACTATATCAGCATCAGATCAGTGCTGCCTCTCTGTCATCCCACTTTGGCCTAGAAGTGATCTCTTCAAGATGTGACATGCACAGCCTCCCCCTAATGTGATTCCAGTGCACTTTCTTGGTTCCTGACATTGCTTGACTCATACTTTGACATTCTGACTGTCTTTGACTCACCTATTGCCAATACTTACCAATCTTTTGACTTTGCTTACTGATTCTTTGCTTTTTGGCTTACTTATCCTTACCAATGCTTACCAATGCTTTCCAAGACGATTACCCATCGCTTACATTCCTTACTCATCAGTTACCAATCACTTACCAAGTGTTTGCACCTTGTTTTCCATAGGCAACGCCCCTGTACTGTATATAAGTCACTGTACTTAGGTAGCAAAAAAAAAAAAGGAGACATCAGAGAGCCCCTCTTGCTTGCAAGTTATCATCTCTCAGTAAATCATTCATCAGCTTCGATAGTTGAGACTTTATTAAGGGTCTAGCTATCATCTACTTCGCTTATCATCATCTATCATCCATATACTTCGCTCCAAGCCCTCCCTGAGCTCAGTACAGCTTAGGACATCAAATTAAGTCTCCATCCATCCTTCTGTAGGCTGACAGCAGTCTACCCTATTGCTTTCTATCACATTCTTGCTCCCTCTTCATCAGGAGCACCCCCAACCCTCAGCACTCATCTTTGAGTGTTGTAGCTCACAAAAACCCTCCCAAGGAACAGGTTCTACCATCTAGGTACTGCATAGGCACACCACCACTCGCTTTCATTGTCTTTTGTGTTGGTTTTGGTTGGTTTTCACCACTGAACCACACTTTGACTCACACTGTCCTTGCCATGGCAGCGCGATCAAACCTGGAACTCCATCAGATCGATATCAAAGGTGCATACCTGAACAGTACACTTACCAATGATGAAGTAATCCACATGCGACAGCCCCCAGGCTTCAAATCCACCGATCACCCCAATAAAGTCTGTCGCCTCCGAAAGACGTTGTATGGTTTGAAGCAGAGCGGCCATCGCTGGTACCAAAGATTAGTGGAGATCCTTGTCGATGAGCTGGGCCTTACCCAGTGCTCAGTCGACCAGGCCATCTATTTCAGATGACGCACCACTGGTGAGCTTGTCATCGTTGTCGTCCATGTCGATGATTGCACCATCACTGCAATGTCCCTAAACAAGATAGAGGAGCTTAAGTGCAACATCAGAAAATATGTTGAGATTACTGACCTTGGGGAACTTCACTGGCTGCTTGGCATTGAAGTAACCAGAAATAGAGACAAACGTACCATCTCCCTGTGCCAACGCCCCTACATCGAGTCCATCATATGATGCTTCAGCTTCAACGAGCTCAAGCCCATGTCAAACCTGATGGAACCCAGTACCAAACTGCATTCTGGGCAGTCACCATCAACTGGTGCTGAATTCACTATGATGCGCCATGTACCCTATCGTGAAGCCGTAGGACCGCTCATGTACGCCTCCCTTGCCACTTGTCCCGACATCTCATATGCCGTAACAACTGTCTCACATTTCTCGGGCAACCCTGGAGTTGCTCATTGGGAAGCTGTAAAGAGAATTTATTGGTACCTTCTTGGGACAAAAGGCTTATGACTCACATATGGGGGATCACCAAGTGCATTGACTGGGTATGCAGATGCAGATGGCAGCATGGCAGAAGACCACAGAGCGGTCTCAGGGTACACTTTTCTAATAGACAGCAGAGCAGTGTCATGGTCTTCTAAAAGACAGGAAATTGTCTCACTCTCAATGACTGAGAGCAAGTACATGGCAGCCACACACATGGCCAAGGAGGCCTTGTGGCTTCAGTCGCTCATTGGAGAGCTTTTTCAGCCATTTGTCGAGCCGACCACATTGTTTTCTGATAATCAATCAGCCATCGCACTCACTAAAGACCATCAGTATCACGCACGTACCAAACACATCGATATCTGTTTTCACTTCATTCGCTGGGTCATAGAAAACGGCAAAATTTGCCTCATATATTGCCCGACTGCAGACATGCTTGCTGATATGCTAATGAAGGCACTACTGTCTCCGAAGGTGAAACATTTTGCAGTTGAACTCGGCCTACACCTGACTTGAGGGGGAGTGTTAGATTTGGCAAGTTGCTCGTAGCCTTCGTTCACTAATTGATGCTACTTTTCCTTACCATGGGAAACACTTCCCGTTTACGGGTCTACAAGACCACTGTACTTAGTTGTTTCGAGCACTGACAATACAGCACAGTAATTTTTGGTTTATTGTCTCCAAATGTTTCATATGTATAATTAACGGTACAAGCACTCGCGCTATGACCGTGCTTGTAGTTTCAATACTGGGTTCAACACCCATGTCTCACCCTTTTGTTTCGTATAGCATATTTAACTCGTTACTGTAGTAACACCACCTCAGACGTTTGCCACTCACGCACTCGACTGAGATCTTGCTATAGATTTCTGTAAAATGGTGCAAACTGTTCGACTTTTGGCATGCCCAAATGATCAGAGATGAGGGATCTTTTCATGGAAATATGCAACAGTGAGCATTTATTTGGTTCTATTCATGTGATCAGTGATATTCATTGATTATGTAGGTGAACTTCCATCCACACAGCAATCTCTTCAAATGGAACAATGGGGATTGGCACCTGTTCCATGATGCAATCAAGGTATGGGCATGAGCTTAATCTGATACACCTTTGACATTGATAATTTTAGTCCTGCATGCCTTACATGCCATGGTATCTCGCTATTGTGGAAACACCACTCCCAGCCACATGCTGTTCGATCCCACCCTCAATAGGCACCTTGTGCAGGCTGCGAATGCCATTGCAAGAGAATTGGGCACAGCTGCAAGGGACCAGTATGGTGCAGCCTCTCAGGGCCTTCAACTCATCAGTATGCTTGATTTGATGGAAGTCATTCATTATCTGCATTCCACCTTTGAAAATTGTCCCAAGCCATTCATTGCCAGCCAATCACACCCATCTTGCCAGTCTGTGGTAGAGATGGGTATCCTCTACTTGGCATGCCAGATTGAGGTGGCCTCTGTACATCTGAAGCAGACTGCTGATGTTATGGGATGGCCCACACATTGGTTTACAAACCTAGCAATGGACTTGGTAGGTTTTACATCAATTTTTCACAATGTGGGACTGATACATAATTCCTTCAGAATCAGCTTAATAACTTGATTCTGGTGATGGTGTTGCATGCCAGTTATACTCCCCCCCTCCTGGCATGCTACCATGTGTACCTCAGACACCAAGATGATGAGGTTAGCTTCCACAATCAAATGCAGCTAATTCCCCTTAGTGCATTTAGCATAATCGACAATATCAGTGCCATCATCCCACATTGGACCCCACATGCAGCTGATCCCAATTCTGGCTTTGCATTCCCTTGGTGGCTATATCATTCCAAGGAATATGCAGCAGATTCCCAAAGATTGCAAGGCAAGGGATTGTTTTCCACAGCCTGGGATTTTTTTAAGGTATGCCACTTATTCTCGTCGCTGCAAATAGTTGATGATGGCCCAGGGCTTATGGCCATTGCCTGAGGCGCCAATTGCAGACCATCTCAACGGCCATATCGAGGAGCAAGTAAACTACTGCATCAAAAATATTCAGAAATATGCCAATGTTGTCAATGGTCAGGGTCGACAAATTGACCATTTCTATGCTAGGTGGTGGGCATTGTGTGGGTTGTTGGGCATGCCGCTTCAATAGTTTACATGTTTTTGACTGTGGAGTTGGTTGAATATACATTGCTATAAATGTTGATCATTTATGAGATGCCACCCATTTGCATGATGTCTGAACCCCTGCCCATCCATGCAATGTCTGACAATCCACCCATCTGCATGATGGCCTGAGTAGGTTTATTTTTTTTGCAGTTTATGATGCACACCCTTTAGCTCTGAGTACCTGCCCAATCTATGATGTCAAAGTACCTGCCCATTTGCAAAATCTTGGCAACACCACCCATCCAAAGTTCAAGAGCCAGCATATCATAATAAAATATGAGATCCACATCACCTACTAAATCTTACATTAAATTTTGCAGCTTCAAATCAACAGTTGTCCAGTTGCAACTGGTCTAGGTAGTAGGTCGTCCATCCATGGTGATTGACACATGGGAACATGCACTGACTGATGTACATTGGCATGCATGTAGTATGCCAGGCATGCTCTGTCACTGTCTACAGCTCCCACCCCATGCTCCAGTGCTGAACCTGAAAATGCAATAATTGTCCCTGGGTTGTAGCATAGCTGCAGATTCAACATTGGAATGACAAAGTCCAAGGGTGGGTAGTTGCCCATGGTTACCAGCATGTCATACCATGGATCCTGTCCATTGATATCCCTGTGGTAACAAGTTGCCTGATTCACCATCACAGACATGCTGCTATATGTGGAGCTCCATATTGGCGGTATGGAGCTCATATCCAAATCTGCCTGCTGTTCTGCCTGTTTGCCAAGGCAGATCAACACTTCCCTGCCATCTGCATACATTTGTGGATGGATGACATGCAGGATCACAGATAACAGGGCATTGGTGTCAGACATTTGGTCAACCCATTCCCTTGTAGAAGTGTTTTTCATCCTGGATTTGAGCAGCTGTGAGGCTTCTGGGAAGCCATTTTGGGGCTTCAAGACAGATGAGCACTTTATTCACAAGGAAAGAAATGATCACCCACCCCATGACCCTGTTGAAACCATGTGGGTGACAGGTTGATGGCACCTTTCAACTCAGCATTATTGCAGAAATGTGACTTGTCTGTCTGCCATGCCTGTGGGGAAGCCTTTATGCTCTCCCACAGTGGTTCCCTCAGAAGATGAAGGCAGTTCCATACGTCAGCCTGCCATTGCATTAAGTCAGTAGAATATGAGATTCTGCATTCCCTTACCCTTCTTTTTGGGCTGAGAGCATCCAGCAAATACCAAATGCAGATGGTGTTTGAGTCAGTCACCAGAATGGATGGCTCAGTCACTTCTGTGTATCTCTCAGCAGCTTCTGCATTGCAGGTTTTTCCACCCCAATTTTTCCTGACATTGACTGCAGAAGGATGAAAACTTCCATTGCACCATTATGATGGACTTACTTGGGCGATGATAGGCCTGTGAGATTACTGATGATATGTGATCCACTTCACATAACACCAGAAATGGAATCAATATATCTGGAAGGGTGTGAGGCCTGCTGAATACCTCCTCTTGAAATCTAGCTTTCATGTATGACGCAATGCAGTCTGTTAGTTCCATTCACCATCTGTGGGGGGTTTTATACATGTCTCGCATAGTATTCATGCTTGGGGTGGATGAGGTCAGAGTTGTATAGTGGGTGAGCCACTTGCAGCTTGTTGGAAAATTACGGCATGTCAGGATGCTTGCCTCAGTATTTTGCTGTGATCTGATCAATATGTTGTGATGCTATACATGCTATTGGTGTTGGGCCTGTCTTATGTTGCAACAGGGGTGGATCTTACTAGACAGACCCATCCTTGTTTTATGGCGATATAAAAGATATTACTGAAGGACCTGTCCGTATGTTATGACCATATAAATAATACTGCTGAAGGGCCCTTCCATATGTTGTGACACTATAAATGATGTTACTGATGGGCCTGTCTTTATGTTGTGACAGGGGTGCATCTTACTAGACAGGCCCATCTATGTGCTGTGACACTGTAAATGATGTAAATGATATTACTGATGGGCCTGTCTTTATGTTGCGACAGGCATACATGTTGCTATTGATGGGCCCATCCATGTGTTGTGACCGTGTAATTGATATTACTGACAGGCCTGTCTCATGTTGCAACAGGGGCATATCTTACTAGATGGGCCCTTCCATATGTTGTGATGCTATAAATGATATTACTGATGGGCCCATCATTATGTTGTGGCAGAGGTGCATCTTACTAGACAGGCACATCTATGTGTTGTGACACTGTAAATGATATTACTGACAGGCCCATCTTTATGTTGCGACAGGCATACATGTTGCTATTGATGGGCCTGTCCATGTGTTGTGACTGTGTGATTGATATTACTGACGGGCCCATCTTTATGTTGTGACACTGTCAATGATATTACTGATGGGCCCATCCTTATGTTGTGACAGGCGTACATCTTGCTATGGACAGGCCTGTCTAGATGTTGTGACACCATAAATGATATTACTCCTGGGCCTGTCCATATGTTGCCAACTCTGTAATCTATCATAGATGGGCCCCTCTTTATGTTGTGACCCTATAAAGCATATGACAGGCAGGCCCATCCATGTCTTACAGTAGCTTAGCATACTTACTTGGTCATGGGCCCATCTATATGTTGCAGCATCCTTACCCTCCACAGGCCCTCCCATATGTTGTGGAATTGCATTTATGGGCCCATACATATGTTGCTCTCACTATAGGCCCTCAGGCCTGTCCATGTGTCATGGCTAATCTATTTAGACAGGCCCATTGTGGGGTCTATATAAGTGTTGGCATTTTGGCATGCAGGCTACCTATATGTTGTGACTAAATGGACTACATGGGGTCTGTTGTCATCATGTCATCAGGGTATGGTGTCTGGGGGTTTTCCAGCTGTATGACAAGGTTTTTAATGCAAGTAAGGGTTCAAGGGCATCCTTTGTCACTTCATACAGGTATTGGTTGGCACATAGGTCATCAATGAATCCACCAATCGAGGACTTCAAAATCTCGAGTTTAACATGGTTGAGGAACTTTGATAGCGGATCAAAAAGGCCCCAAATGAAGGGGATGGGTGCAACGTCACCAAGGAGAAAGTCAACAAGGATGGGTCCAAGTGTGATCTGTTGCATAAACTTGGTGACCTGATCGAGTTTGTGTGCATGGAGACTAACCTTCTTGATGGAGGGTAGGTAAATATCTTCAACAAGTTCATACTTGTCATCATCGTCATCGTCATCAGGGATGCCACAATAGACGCTGGTCAGATGCTCAGCTTTGACAACAAAATCTGAGATGCATTCTGCAGCGTTGGTTGGAGATACAGTGGAAGAAACTCTTCGAGATGTGGACAGTAAATATACAGGAATGACATAAATGTCTGTTTGCATGTGGGTCAGCAATCACCAGGGAAATTAAGAGTAGAAGAGTGGGGGGAAAGATGAATTGAATGAACAAGAACATGTTGTCACTGTTTGCTGGCCATGAAAGTATCTTGAGGTTAGGAAGAAGCGCATTCCCAGGTGCACAGGGAGGGGGCTCAAGAGACATAAGGGGTCCAAACTCATGAAGGGATCTTGCTGCTGATAACCCAGAATATGCACGGGTCTAGTGTAGCCTTAGAGAATATGAAAGTGAGAAGGTTCGAGTGGCAGGTCAAAACACTGCATCCCACCCATGTTGATTCCCCAACATGCAGGGTACTCACAATTAAATCATCAGATCTGCTGCGAACCTCGACTGGTAAGCAGGTGAGGAGAGGATACAATGAGTCGAGATCAGTTCAGAGTGCATTGGGGGCTGGTTCCTTAAGAGTCCATACAGTATATTCATGTAGTCTCGCTACACAGTTGCTTGCCAGCCTTGGTATTTTACTTTGTTTGTGCCCCTGGCAAGCCACTGCTCTGCCATGCTGTGGAGTTTGTATTTTGAACTGCTCCAACAATGATGGATAGTGAACCCCTGGAACCCCTCCTACCAATTATTGCAGCACTAGTGACTCTCATCAGTGAGTCTTGCCTCAAGCTAGTGACTGAAGATATGCCTTCTGATAAGGATTGAACCAACTGGACTGAAGAAGAGAAAGAGGCCCTTGTCACTTTCCTTGTTGATGAGAAAATTGCTGGCAAGATAGGTGATGGGTCATTCAAGTCTGCCACTTGGAGTGCAGCCACTGCCCACATAAACAAGAAATTCCTGAAACAAAAAGGAGTGATGAAGACCTCTGATATGTGCAGAGGGAAGCTCAGTAATGTGAGTATCCTGTTCCCTCCCCAGTGCCTGTGTAGTTTAATTGATCATTATCAGTACAGCTCAAATCCATGCTGAGGGATATCAACTTATGGTGACTTTGTTCTGGAAAGCATTGGGATAATGAAAATGGGGCAAATATCATCTCTGAGAGTGAGGAAAGCGACTTCAAGGAGTGGTTAGCAGTACATGTCCATCATCTTGGGTCCATAGCTTGACATCAATAACATCCATTGACAGGGCCAACCCAGGAATGCTATGTGCCAGTTTAAAAATGTCAGATGGCCCCTGCTTATGGTGATGGAATTGTTGTTTCCAAATGACCAAGCCCATGGTATGTGTGCCTACCATCCTATGACTTCTGCAGCATTCATATCTGGCACCAGCTAGCCATACCTCCAGTGATCCAGTGATGACTCCATCTACATCCTCTGCCACTTTACAGTTCATAACTCCTCAGGTTGGAAGCTCCACCAGCATCATTGCAGATGATGCAATTGATCAAATGTCCATTGACAAGGTAGCTCCTAACAGAATGAACATGCAGTCCCAGTTATTTTCATCACAATTTAATCCACCCATGCTGACTCTTGCTTCCCCTATGACATTACTTAGTTCATATCCCCCCTCAACTACCAGCTCTATGCCATCAAGTAGGAAGCATACACATGTGGATGCCAACCCTGCTTCACCCTCTGCTGAGATTCCATCAGTACAAGCTGTGCTCCAGTTGCTCTCTATCAAGGATGATGTAGAATGCTCTTCAAAGAAGTCAAAGAA